TGAGAAACTCATTAAAACGCTAAGAGATTAATCAGAAGATCAAAAGATTTCAGTGATTTTTTAAACTAACCCTACAAAGCATTTAAAGCACTTTGAGCTGCGTAAAACCTCAATTTCACTATTAAAATGAGAAATTTAACTTTTTAAACCATCAACAGCAAAAGACAAACACACATAGGCTGTCATTTGCCTTAAAACCAAGAAAAGCACAAACACTTTCTGATCTGAAAGATAGACTCATTGAACTCAGTGAATTCTTCTGATAAAAGAAGTACGATAAAACAGGGTTTTTATTCCAGGATTTACTTATATTTCTTTTATCCATTAAAAAAGTGGCTGTAAGTGATTCATCTTCTAATATATATATATATATATATATATATATACATATATATATATATATATATATATATATATATATATATATATATATATATATATATATATATATATATATATATATATATATTGGTCATTGGGGTGTTTATCTGATGATTTCTAAAGGAAAGTGGGTCAAAAACAGGCTGAGACCATCTTTATCAACATCTGATTGTAATGAATTTCTTCAGCTGGCGTCAGAATGATGTGCTGAAGACGATCTTAGTTTGTCCTGACCTACTTTTGTTTACGTACACAGACCCAATAGGTTAACAGGTATAAATGTAACATCTAGAGGCCAGCTAGCCGAGGAGTGCAACGAGTGCACTAGTATTTGACTGGGTCAATGTTTACTATGAAACAATGTCCCGTTTGTTCCTGGCAATTAATAACCCATTCAATAAAATTGCATCTTTTAAATTATGAAGATGATGTTTGATCAGAGCTACTAATGAAGAAAATGTTTCTGTAGCAGAAGTATCAGAATGTGCTGTTACAGCTTACAAGTGTTGGAAATTTCACAAATGCCTATGTTCAGATCAACACATTGATCAATATTATATTCCTGCACACTTTGACCATGAGAGGGAAATTTGCCACAGCTTTGACCTCCAGGATACATTGTAACCCCCGTGGCCACATCAACTCATTGCCCTGCTGCTGTTATCTTATCATAATAAACATAAACTCTGTGTGCATGTCATCATGCACTGCAGTCCTGTCAGCCTGCCTGCTGGTGGGCATTCAAAAGAGATCATGCATGGCAGAGTGCAGGGAGATTTGCACAACAAAATTCACTGGGTTCAATGGTCCTTGGACAAACATGCATAGGACTGCCATGTGCGACCTTAAGGGTAGGTAACGATGGAGGAACATGAACTCTGGTGTCACATCTGAGGTGCTTTTATGTTCCCTAGTAGTAAAAGTTTTACATATTATGTTAAAAGAAAATCTGAGCTTGAGAGGCAAATAAAATTAAAGTATCATTTTAAAAAGGTGTTTGTTTTAAAGGTTGAATATAAAGCAAGTTTTAAAAATGCTATATGAAGGCCGGGGAGAGGATGGTCTGGAGCTCCCTAGTCGGGATGCTGCCCCCGCGACCCGGACCCGGATAAGCGGAGGAAGGCGACGAAGACGACGACGACTTGATATTTAAAAAATAATACCTCCAGCTTTTCAAGGTGTGCAGAATAAAGGTATAGTATTTCCTTTAAAAGCTATTGTCATGAGTTGCTTGCCAAACTCTTAATACAAGTCCACAGGTGAGCCGAAAATCGAGTTGAAAAGTATCAACATTTGTTAGGTCCACCTCACAGTTGTCCCCAGTGCTCTCTCAAAAACCAGGAAATCACCTCCCTTGTGACTCTGGTTCAACTCTCTTCACACACCGGCTCTACATCAGCAGTGCTTTACACATCCACAGCCCCTCTCATTGGGCCTCATCTGATTGATTCCCCACTCATCATAGAGTACCAGCAAGCATTAACACTCACCAATACAAAACACAACATAAAAGCCAGTGTCAATGTTGAGATAAATCTAGCTGATAAAAGTGGGTTTTAAGGCGTGATTTAAAATCCTGAAGAGAAGACGCTTGCTTCACTGTCAGGGGGAGCTCGTTCCAGAGTATAGGGGCCATTATTGAGAAGGTCCTGTCCAGTTTAGAGCGGGGAACCTCCAGCAGCTCCTGCTCAGCAGAGCGAAGGGCACGAGCAGGAATACGACGCTGCATCAGTTCAGCCAGATATAGAGGAGAGCTGCCCTGCAGAACCCTGAAAACATGGGTCAAAATCTTAGTATGCGATGTGTGACGTGGTTCTGATCAGCAAGTGCAGGTGCATGTGTATGTGTTTGTGCGTGTGCGACAGGTTAAACTGATCAATCTGTCACAGTATCCTCCCCCTCCCGGAGGTTGACAAAGCTGCGGCAACCGGGAGAGGTGGTCAGCCACCACATTGGTACTTCCGGAACAATGCCGGATGATAAACCTAAACGGCTGCAGGGAGAGCCAGCCAGATACCAGCCAGCTAGCTCCAAAAAGGACTGTACAGCCTTCTTGGTCTGTGGCCGGGGATACTGCTGGATGGCTTCCACCTTGTCCACCTGTAGAAGCACCACCTCGTGTACCAACAGGTAGCCCAAATACTTAGCCTGTTCAGCCCACTCACACTTGGACACATTAAGCGTCAGTCCTGCCTTCTGGATCCTCTGCAGGATGAGCGACAGATGTTGAAATTGTTCTTCCCATGTGTGGCTGAACACCACTACATCATCCAGGTAAGCTGCACTGTAGTCCTCACAGCCTTGGAGAACCCTGTCCATAAGTCTCTGGCTGGAGCCCCATGAAGGCCAAAGGGCATCACAGTGAACTGGTAAAGCCTCACCGGTTTCTGAACGTCTGTATAAGGCCGACACTTCTCCTGGAGTGGAACCTGCCAGTACCCTCTACAAAGATCCAGGGTGGTGATGTACTTAGCCGCCCCATTCCTCTCCAATAAATCATCAACTCTGGGCATAGGAAAGGCATCAAACTCGGATACAGAATTACGTTTTCTGAAATCTATACATGTCCGAAGTGAGCCCTCTTTCTTGAAGGCGATGACCACTGGACTGCACCACTCAGAGGTAGATGGCTCGATCACGCCCAGCTGCAGCATCTCAGCAACCTCCTGCTTCAGTTTTCCCACCAGCTGTTGTTTGGTGGTTCTTTTCCAGCTGTAACAAACATGGTAGTCAAAGAGTTGTCATCTCTCTGTAAGCCAGCTATGTTATCAGGCACATTCCACACAAAATCTTCTTTCACAGGATCTGCAAGATTAACTGTTTTTCAAAATGCTGTTGGCATCTGGTTCTTCTAGGCCCTTTAGAGCCCCCTTCACACAGATCATTGTCAAGATCTGCCAGAGGTTGGACACTGGCTTTGACCTAGGCAGTAACCACAGGAGCATTCTTCTTAACATCACCCTGCTTAGACCCCATTTTCTCAGTTAAAATTGCAGACTGAGTGATGCATCTCAACTTATTTTCCCTTAGATCCAACGATGTTCAAGAGGTGTTGGCATTTATCTGAGAGCTTATTGGGACTGATATGTCTTTACGCAAATCAGATGCCAACCTTCATGGTACGTCTCACGCCATTGTTTATTATCTGCAACATCACAACAAACTCAATCTTTATTATCTCTGAGAGTATAATCTCTTCAGCCATCGTCTGTTGGGGTAGCAGCATCAGAAGCAGGGACCTGAAAAGGCTCAACAGCCTAATAAAACAGGCTGGTTCTGTTCTAGGGACGACTGTGAAACCACTGAAGGAGGTAATGCAAAGAAGGATTCTCCAGAGAATCAAGAAAATTATGGACAACCCTGAGCATTCTCTTCACAAGACTGTCCGACAACGGAAGTGTCTTCAGTTTCGCTGCAGCACTGACCGCTACTGGAGATCCTTCCTGCCAACAGCCATTGTAATATACAATAACTCTTTGATTACTTGATTTTTATTATTATTCTGAGCTACTACAGCAATCAATTTCCCTCTGGGATTAATAAAGTATTTTTGAATTGAATTGAATCTCACAAGGCAAATACTTCTGCTGCATACGTGCAGACTAACGTCACCCATTGAGTTTAAGATACCACAACACTGAACAATGAGACTAGATGTAAACAGTTTGAAACAGTTTTGTTTTTTTCAGTGTTTACAACTTTGCTTCAGTCCAGTTCGTGGACACTCAGTCATGCACTGACCACCTTACGTCCTGCACGGTATTTCAGATTACTATCTAAACTTTAACTGAACTATTTGACTCCTTGATTGTTTTGTAGATTCCTCTGTTGCATGACACAGTTTCGGCCTAGCTCTGATTCTTGGGAGGATGACTCACATCTCATTTGTTGTGATTGTGCTGGTTTCTGTTTTATTTTTACGCAGTGTTTTTAAACAGCGAACGATGCTGGGAGTACAAATGAACCAATAAACCACTCAAGAAAAACAGAAAGAAAAATGCATCCCAAAAGCCCTGTTAAGGTTCCTGCAAGAAGCCAACATTCCATTACTTGAAAATAGGATGTGGATGGGCTGATTGCCAGCCAGCTCTCATTTTACATCCCTAAAGCCAAAACACAACACTGCTTTCTGGTAAAGTTGTCTGCCTTTTTTCTTCTAGTGATAAACCGAATTTTGTTAGATCAAAACATGTTTTTCCTGCACATATCAGAACCTGCACTTACTCACAGAGCCCTTTAATAACAAAACAACGTTCACAGGGGGTCGGGGCTCCCTTTACTCTCATATTGTCTTGGTTGTTGTTGTTTATGTGGAAATGCTGAAAACATTCCTCCAGAGTTCTCTTCCAAATTTAGGACTCCTGTTGCAATATTTCTGAAGGTTTGTGCTGAAGCACATTCCTATTTGGAAACTCATGTTGCTGACCTTAAAAGTTGCCAGTCATGTTTGGACTTTTAGTAACTTGTTTATTTGTTGTTTGTTTCTTTTTTGAATGTTTTTTTTTTTGTATCTGACTTTTCATTTGTAAATTGTAACTTGTTTTATTTAGTCATCCTGTTGAGGGACTACAGATGTAAAATAGCAATTTTGCTATAATCTGGCCCATTTACAATAGACAGAAAGTATGTGATTGTTTATTAATGTGCACTGTCCCAAATAAATAATTCAATTAAATAATTGTTTTTAACTTCATAAACTGATAATACAAATTATATAATTAAGGAATTTCATTTCATAGTGACAAAGGAAAATGTGTAAAATGTCACAAATCCAGGCATCAGAAACATATTTGTGTCACAACTGCATGGATTTCATGTTGTTTTGTGCAACACAGAGAACATCTGGCATGATGTGAACTAATTTCTGTTTAGTTATGTAATCATTTCTAATGGAAGTATTTCAGTAGTGCTGTAAAGACCATAGGCACGTCCAACTCAAATTGAATCTTACACAACTGCAGGAAGTGAAAACCCCAAAAAACATGTATTAATAATGCAAAATCAAAGGCAGTACAGAAGGCTCAGAAGTGAAACAAAGCTAGAGGTAAACCTGATCTGGTACAAAAGGGTGATGAAACTCAAAGATGAATGGCTGGAGCTTCTAGATTATACACAGAAAAGTTGACATGGTCTTGAAGCTGTAGTTAACTGTTCTACAGTATTTTGCTATCTGACCCTGTTTTATAACATGAAGTAGGTAATATTTCATTATTTATATTTCTTCCAACTTTCTCCCTGGCCTCTACAGCAAAATTATTACTTTACTGGAATAAATGGTGCCTGTTTGAACTCATTATATGTATAAAAGACACCGGTCCACATCTTCAAACAGTCAGATTCCAACCTCCACCGTGGCCAGGACCAGAGAGCTGTTTAAGGACACCAGGGACATGATTGTACACCTGCACAAGACTGGGATGAGCCAATCTGCAAAAGGCAAGCAGATTAGTGAGAAGAGATCAACTTTTGTAGCCATTATTAGAAAATAGAATAAATACAAGATCAGTGACAATCTCCCTTGACCTGGGGCTCTATGTAAGAACTCACCACAAAGGGTACAAATGATCTTGAGAATGGTGAGGAAACAGTCCAGAATGGGGGAAACTGGTCCATGACCTGAAGAGAGCTGGGACCACAGTAACAAAGGTTACCATTAGTAACACACTACATAATCATGGAATAAACCCTGCAGAGGTGACCTGAAAAGGTTCCTCTACTGAAGCCAGCACATGCCCAGGCCCATCTAAAGTTTGCCAGAGAACACCTGGATGATCCGGAGGAGAATTGGGAGAACATCACGTGGTCAGATGAGAGCAAATATAACTCTTTGTTATAAACGTCACTCATCATGTTTGAAGGGGGAAGACTCCCAAAAATACCATGCTTACTGTGAAGCATGGGGGTGGAAACATCATGCTTTGGGGCTGATTTTCTGTAAAGGACAGAGCAGTATCAAGTGAATGATGAATGGGGCCATGTCTCATAAGATTTTGGCTAAAAACTCCTTCCATCAGTGGGAGCAATGAAGATGAAGCATGGCTGGATCTTCCAGCATGACAATGATCACAAACACACCGCTGAGGCAACAAAGGAGTGGCAACATAAAGAGCATTTCAAGGTTTTGGAGTGGCCTAGCCCATCTTCAGACTTCAGTCCAATAGAGAATCTGTCGAGGGAGATGAAAGTCCATGTTACCTAGCAACAGCCCCAAAACACAACAACTTTAGAAAAGATCTGCAAGGAAGAATGGACCAAAATACCAGCTCCAGTGTGTGCAAACCTGGTCAAGACCTTCCAGAAATGTTTGACCTCTGTCAAAACAGTTTTGTTATTGACCCAATACTTACAGATGGAACTCAACAAATTAGAATATGATGCAAAGTCCATTTAGGTCAGTAATTGAACTTAAACTGGGAGACCAGCTAAAGGCTCAGAAGCCCATTTAGAAAAAAATAAATAAATAAAAATAATAATAATAAAAAGATAATGAAAATAAGGTTTTTGGATTGGAAATTTATTTCTTACAAATCGTTATGAAATGTCATGTCACTATAACACACTTTATCACTTTAACTGTGTGTTTTATATACTTCAGCCAAATTATGAAACTATCTACCTGATGTGTTTGGACCATTATCAGTTCAAGATAAGCCTCCAAAGTAACAGGTGATAATGGGTCAGGTTAAAATAACAGAAAACTCACACTGAAAAAACTAATTCAACAAATCAACTCTGTATTTATTTGATTTTTATTGAGGCAACAGTTCCGTCTTTTTGTATGTTTCATCATCTACTGCTTATGCTGACATTCTAAGATGAAGAGTAGCTAAATGTTCTACATCCAGTACATTAAAGGTGTGGGAAACTTGTTTAATCAATGCATTTGCATCGGTCTCTAGTAGGAATGAATGTCTTGCAAGGCATAGTCGGGGGGTGGGGGTGCATACAATTACCCACATCACAGCTGAGCTCAGAAGGCAGGATTTGGATATTTTTTTCTTGATGTTTGAACATCTCGCCCCAGATTGGATAATAGAAACTCTACTGCCGACATGGATGTTTTATCTGCACAAATAACACAAACTTGGAGGAGATTCTGTTGCGTGGTACAGTTGCTAATGCTAACTGTTAACATCTACTAGTCGAGATGTGCTCCTGCTGTTTCCTGGACGCTAAACCAGCAACAGCCTTCCCCATCGTGAGTCAAGATGGGTGAGTCCATGATTGTTAAGTAACAGTGTGACGTAGATCTGTCAGGCTTTTCAAATCCTAGTTTTTCACTGTCTATTTTCTATCAGAAGCTAATACAGGAGATAGGTGTAGGAGAATAGTTTCATGTTCAGCCAGCATGAAAAACACAGCGTGACCAATTAATAACAGGTTTTCATTGTCCTGAACCTTTACAAGGGTTTTCTGTGTTAACGGAACTGATTAGATTACTTGACATGGATTGAAACTCTTATGGAGTCTAAATAAAGTTATCTTTTTATTTAGACTATGTGTGTCAAAACATGAAACATCACAAATAAAAGCGTTGTGCTTCCTCTCTGGATGACAGTGTTGTTTACTGCAGAGTGACGAATAGTTTTGCACCCATTTAACATCTGTTACAACATTAACCAGAGCACCGGGGTGTAGAGAAAAGCTATTACGCACACTTCCCGGAAAAGTTTTAACTCAAGATTTTTCCTTTTTTTTTTTCTTGCATGACATGTGGCATGTGTTACTTCTCATTCATAAAGAAATATTGAGCACACAGTGTACAGGCGAGGGGATGTGAACACACCCTGTCTTTGCCGGGTGAAAAACATTCCTAAGCTACAGTAACAGGGTCAGGTTTCATGGCAAAAAGTACTACGTGACCCCGTGATGTAGTAAACAGAGGGAGAAAGGCACGGAAATTAGGATTTAAACCATCAAAAGAAGCTCGTTGAGACAATGCAGTTACTCAGACTAAACTCCCACGTAGTGGAAAACTGCGTTTGTTCTTTGTGGGAAAACAAGTTGTGGGAAAATCATTTAAACCGGGAGGAACGATTTGCACAAGGCGATGTTTTGATAGCTTTTTGTGCAGATTTATTGTACGAATCAGAGCAAATGATACACAGAGGAGACGTAGATGGAGAGACTGATAAAAATACAAACAACAATGCACCAATTCTTCTGCAGACACAGGCACCTTTACTGTGGACTTTTTCCAACTACGGAGACCACACAGACTTCTGAGTTTAAAGCTGCATGCGTTTGTCACAGCCTGGAACAAATGTAATAGACTTTTCAGTCAAATTGCTTTGGCTGTGATCAGCTGCATTCCTGGTCTAATTTTATCCCCATTTTTCACATGGCATGTTCAGAAATTAAAGCAAGCTCTCCTGGAATAAACTCATATCAAGCTCAATTGTTTGTTATCAAACTGTTCTAAGCTGCATGACTTATGAGGGTTGAAACAGTTTCTGCAAACAAAATTGCAGAAAAGCAGCTAGAGATGCTGCTTCAAGCTTGCACATCTTTTCAACAACAGAAATTAAACTGTCAAGAACTGTTTACGTGTAAATTAGTCTGCTTCGTGTAATTCAATGATATTCTTCATTTTAAGTCACATTTATCAACACATAATGGCAACGACAAAGAGACCTTGTGAACAGCTGTTCTTGTTTTCATGCAGTTCTAAACTTCTGAAGGTAATAGGATTTTAGTGATTAGTTTTGTATTTCCTGAAGATAGCTTTACATTAGAATGAGTAGATATTCTGTATTTGCCAAACACTCCTCAACAGTGGAATATCTGTCCTGAAGCTTCCTGCTGAGAAACACATTAGGATGTGGCTCACCATCAATGCGCTGCAGCAACACCACTCCAAGGCCAGTTCAATTTGGTTTATTTATATAGCGCCAAATCGTGACAAGAGTCGTCTCGAGGTACTTCACACAGTAAACATTCCAATACAGTTCAGTTCAGTAAACCAATCAGAAAAAAGTTTCCACAGTAAGGAACCCAACAAGTTGCATCAAGTCACTGACTAGTGTCAGTGATTTTCCAGCAATCCTCATACTATGCAAGCATTTAATGACTGTGGAGAGGAAAACTCCCTTTTAACAGGAATAAACCTCCATAGAATCCTGGCTCAGTATAAGCAGCCATCCTCCACGACTCACTGGGGATTGAGAAGACAGAGCAGACACACACACACACACACACACACACACACACACACACACACACACACACACACACACACACACACACACACACACACACACACACACACACACACACACACACACACACACACACACACACACACACACACATCTACACAACAAATAAACCAAGTAATGTTTCTATAGTTACATTGTGATTTCTTAGTAAATATTCTATTTAATAAGAGATAAACTTTATTGTATGTATCCTAGTGAATCTATAATTAAACAGGTAAACTAGTAGTAGCACGTTCACTGTCAAAGAGAGTAAAATGTTATCAGGAGAGAGAGAATGTTTAAGTTATTAGAAGCAGTGTTCAAGCCGATGGCCCCCTCCTTGAGGCTACCACAGCTCAGCAGAACACCATTGTAGCTTCTTCTGGGGAGAAAAAAACACTTAGAGAAAAAATAAGAATGTAAGAATGCACTATAATGTTACTGGAAAGAAGAGCTGCTCCATTCAAAGAGGGATGGATCCCGTCTCTTCGCATCAGACCAGGTTTTCCCCAAAACGTTTGCCAATTATCAATGTAGCCCACGTTGCTTTCAGGACACCACCTAGACAACCAGTGGTTGAAGGACATCATGCGGCTAAACATGTCATCACTGGACCGATCAGGCAGGGGGCAGAGAAAATTACGGAATCCGACATTGTTTTGGTAAACTTACACACCAAAACAACATTAATTTTAGTGACCCCCGATTGGCGTAAACAGGTGCCATTACCGCCAGCGCGAATGACAATCTTACTGTATTTTAATTTATCCTTAGCCAGCAGTTTCAGGTAGGATTTAATGTCGCCCGCTCTGGCCCCTGGGTGACATTTAATTATGGTTGCTGGAGTCTCTCATGCAATGTTTCTGACTATGGAGCTGCCAATGATCAGAGTCGGCTTGTCAGTGGGTGCGTCACTGAGCGGGGAAAATCTATTTGAAACGTGGACAGGTTGATGGTGTCCCACGGGCTGGGTTCTATGCTTCCTATGTCACCCATATAAATAACTAAAATGTAAATCTGTCGGGCACAACGCTATGTTTTTGTTTACATCTAACAGCTATTAGACGGCACTGTTGTGTTAAAAAGTCCAGTTAAAGGTTGGATTGTGTAAAATGGCAGACTTGACAAGTCACACAGCTGATTCTGAGCCCAGAAGATGTTCTAACGGTAAGTACTGTTGTAAAATATAGTTATTAGTAGATATTAGTCCTTATCCTGTACGATTTGTCTCTGAACATGGTGTTTACGGCTGACATTGTGTCAGCAGTGAACAAATATCCCAACGGCTGGAAAATTAGTCCTGTTGTTTCAATACCACCTCTGAACGCCAGAGTATGCCAGAGTGTTCACCAGTGTCAGTGTTCCATATTCCGCCTTCAACGTTCATGGACTCACCCATTTTGACTCAGGACGGGGAAGGCTGCTGTTGGTTTAGCAACCAGGAAACAGCAGAGAACGTCTCAGCTAATAGAAGCTAACCATTAGCATTAGCAACTCCCCCACATAGCAGAACTCCTTCAGGCTTGTGTTATTGTTGAGATAAAACATCCATGTTAAGGTTGGTTTATGCTTGGCGCGTCCGCGAGGTTCGCACGGTTCCGCGCGGCAAAATTGCGTCATCTTAATAACCACGCCCCTCCACCTGGTCTCCGCACGGCCCAAACTTTCCGCACCACACACCTAGGAAATTTTCTAACCACGCGGATGGTCGAACATGGAAAAACATGGAGGACCGGCAAGAACTAGTTATGGCAGAGTTCGTAAATACAGACATTTGTATGATTCAACTCTCAACGATCACCGTGATCAACAGGTTCTTAATAATTCTCAGAGAGAAATAGCTCGCACTGTCGGAAAAGACGAGGACACTGTTACAAAATGCTGGAAAAACATGAGGAACTGATGTGTGAAGGCAAGGAAGGGGAACAAATGGAAAAGCGGTGATCCTGGTGGAAACAAGAACACTCCACCAATTCTAAAAGAGCTGAGTTGACTCTCAACTTTCATTAACAACTGTTATAAACAACAGTAATTTCTACTATGGTGTAGTGTTGGATGCATGCCGTAGAGCTCCATTCTGCCCCCTACAGTTTGGGAGAATATTGGCTCACTGCAGAGAACCATAAACGCTGCAAGTTGTGAAGCACGTTCCATCCGCAAGCCGCATCACCAAGTGGAAAGTTAATGCATCAAGCCTAAACCACGCTTTACAGAGCAGAGTCAGGGGAAGAGTCACGTTGCTGTTAGCCAATCAGAGGTGATATTTCCAAATATTCGGACACAAGACTCCAAATCCTGCTGCCTGCTGCCCCCTTTGTCCTCCATCTGACTTCTACATCCTCAAACAGACGTATCTGAGGTTTTTTCCCAGAGAACAAATTACAAAAGCACTTATTCCTACCAGAGACCACTGCAAATGTATTATAAACATGAGAAAACTTCATGTTTAAACCTTGAAATCTTTATGAATTTACAAATATTAAAAATATTGTTTTTAAACACAACCGTTGATTGGCTAATGTTATGTCAAATGTATATTAATCAGTTTTATTTCATTATGTAATAATTTAATCATTGTATGTATATATATATATATATATATATATATATATATATATATATATATATATATATACACACTGTATATTGGATCATTGTAGGGAATTAGTTTGATCAAAATGTATGACTCTGCTCCAACACGCTAGATTCAAAGGTTTATTCACTTGTGCAGCATCTCATCAAGCTTTGCAGAAGCCTGCTAATCACCTACTGATTGAAATCAGGTGTGTTGAAACAGCGTTAAAACTGCAATGTTCTTTTATTTGTGTTGCTTTTAAAGCCGATGCTTCTGAAAGCCAAACTGGAGAGGGCGTGAGTGGATTCTGATTTATCTCACAAATCAGCCCCAGTCTCCGAGAGCCTGGGACTGTGTGTCTATATAATAATAACCCATATATCTGTAATAACTCATGTATCTGTAACAACTCATGTATCTGTAACAACTCATATATCTGTAACAACTCATGTATCTGTAACTACTCATATATCTGTAATAACTCATGTATCTGTAACAACTCATGTATCTGTAACTACTCATGTATCTGTAACAACTCATATATCTGTAACAACTCATGTATCTGTAATAACTCAAGTATCTGTAACAACTCATGTATCAGTAATAACTCAAGTATCTGTAACAACTCATGTATCTGTAATAACTCAAGTTTCTGTAACAACTCATACTCGTGTATCTGTAAACAACTCATGTGTCTTCAGCAACTCTTGTATCTGTATCAACTCATGTATCTGTAATAATTCATGTATCTGTAACAACTCATGTATCTGTAACTACTCATGTATCAGTAATAACTCATGTATCTGTAATAACTCAAGTATCTGTAACAACTCATACTCGTGTATCTGTAACAACTCATGTGTCTGTAACAACTCATGTATCTGTAACAACTCATATATCTGTAACAACTCATGTGTCTGTAACTACTCATGTATCTGTAATAACTCATGTATATGTAACAACTCATGTATCTGTAACTACTCATGTATCTGTAACAACTCATGCATCTGTAACTACTCGTGTATCTGTAATAACTCATGTATCTGTAACTACTCCTGTATCTGTAATAACTCATGTATCTGTAATAACTCATGTATCTGCAACAACTTATGTATCTGTAACAACTCATGTATTTGTAACAACTCATGTATTTGTAACAACTCATTATCTGTAATAACTCATGTATCTGTAATAACTCATGTATCTGTAACTACTCATGTATCTGTAATAACTCATGTATCTGTAACTACTCATGAATCTGTAAAAACTCATGTATCTGTAACTACTCATGTATCTGTAACTACTCATGTATTTGTAACAACTCATGTATTTGTAACAACTCATTTTCTGTAATAACTCATGTATCTGTAATAACTCATGTATCTGTAACTACTCATGTATCTGTAATAACTCATGTATCTGTAACTACTCATGAATCTGTAAAAACTCATGTATCTGTAATAACTCATGTATCTGTAACTACTCATGTATCTGTAACTACTCATGTATTTGTAACAACTCATGTATTTGTAACAACTCATTATCTGTAATAACTCATGTATCTGTAATAACTCATGTATCTGTAACTACTCATGTATCTGTAATAACTCATGTATCTGTAACTACTCATGAATCTGTAATAACTCATGTATCTGTAACTACTCATGTATCTGTAACTACTCATGTATTTGTAACAACTCATGTATTTGTAACAACTCATTATCTGTAATAACTCATGTATCTGTAATAACTCATGTATCTGTAACTACTCATGTATCTGTAATAACTCATGTATCTGTAACTACTCATGAATCTGTAAAAACTCATGTATCTGTAATAACTCATGTATCTGTAACTACTCATGTATCTGTAACTACTCATGTATTTGTAACAACTCATGTATTTGTAACAACTCATTATCTGTAATAACTCATGTATCTGTAATAACTCATGTATCTGTAACTACTCATGTATCTGTAATAACTCATGTATCTGTAACTACTCATGAATCTGTAAAAACTCATGTATCTGTAATAACTCATGTATCTGTAACTACTCATGTATCTGTAATAACTCATGTATCTGTAACAACTCACACTAGCATTGGCTGCACTCAGCCCGGATAGCCCCAGACAGCCCCAGCCTGGCCCAGTTGATT